TTTTGCATTTTTAGTCAACATGTAATATTTCGTAACCTTCCACACATTTATAAAAATTTGATTTCGCGCCATAGCTTACCTACCTTAATCAAAATAACATTTGAATGGTAAAATAACATTTGACTGAGTGACTTTTATTTTTTCAATGCTCATATTTTTTTGCCTTCAAAAGAGATGTAAAACCAAGATTCTGAAGATATACCAGCAGTCTAAGGGTGTAGCATCTGTCGATAAGCTATGAACCAATGTCTGTTTGTATCGCTAATTTTTTCAAATGCAATATAAGTTCACAACAGCACGTGTATTGATCCTTTTTAATTGTGATCAGCACGTCGAATAATCCTACTAAGCCAATTTTCACACATGTCTGAGATTCTAACCTTTACGGTAAGTCTCAGCATACAGTATGATTCCACTGTACAAACTAAATACAACTCATTGTGATCAGCACTCCAAATCCGTACAAGTGGTCCTGAAACTTCGATCAGGGACAAAGGATCGAATACGTCAAATGACGTCACGCAAACATATCAGCTACCTATATCTGCAACAACTTTCGACCAAAATCTCAAAACTTCAGATTTCGCTGAAATTTTGCCGCTGGAATTACTTGCCAGGCTGAGCTCGAATATCAGCTTCACGTTGCAGGTCCTTCTTGTGAGGTAACGGTAGGTGGACGATCAGCGATCGAAATTACGGAGCTGCCATGAATGGGCCACTGGGGTTGTTTGGCATACTGGACATTACTTATCTATACTACCACACCGTAGCATTAGTGTGGAGCTACGGTAGGCTTTAAGGAGCAGACGAAAGATTGTTTACATTTCCTAGAAAGGAGATTTGAAACGTTTTTTAAATAAAATTATCTCAGCAACGTTTCAAGATTCTATCACACACGCCAAGTAGTTTTGCTGGAAAGTTCACGAAGGTGCAGTGATAGATAGTTAGCGGATAATTTTTTTGTGAGCAGTATTCAAATAACCTTCATAGGCAAAATTTGGGCAAACCACGATATTGGTCTCCTACAGTGCATTTACCGCCCTGTACCGAAGCTCACCAACAGATTCGCTCCCAATTTGATTACAGTGCTTTTTTCGAAAACATTCCATTTTAAATAAAAGTTATGATGTTTTGACCCTTCATAGCGAATCTATATAAAATCACGTTTTTCTTGCAAAAGTTATGCGCGGTATTGGGCTATCATATCCTGTAGCACTTTTCAATTCATTTCAACACAGAAAGAGTTTTTTGGGGGCGACCACCTTTTCATTTCGCATGTAGTTCTCATCTTCAAATTGCAGACAAGTATTTCATGTAACCACGAGTTTTTCAGAATACAGCAATGTTCCGAACTACCTTTACGAAAAGAAGGATCTAATCTGCACGATTGTATACGATGGATACCTGTACGTGCTGCAATTCGACTACGTTTCAACCGATGTCCGTTGATTGAGATTTCACCTCTGACATTACCTTGTTGATAATTGCCACTGAGAACATCAAGTAAGGCTCGAGATTCCAATTCTGTAATCAAACATTCATTAGTGAATGTAGTTGTGCTTATTGCAAACAATAATTCAGCAAATTCTAC